TTGTAAAAAACATCATTATAATTGATACCGGTTATTGGTTTCTTGCTTATTTTTGGTTTTGAGTTCCCATAAATCATTAACATCTCTCTCTCTCTCTCTCTCTCTCTCTCTCTCTCTCTCTCTCTCTCTCCATGTATAAGGTCATTTAATAAGATAATAACTTGAAAAAAATATTATCTGTATGTATATATATATCATATCTTTCATATCAGGTAAGCACAGCCTGGACTTTCAAAACTGCCACTATGGCCGCCATGTCCAGGTTGCTCATGAAGGCCGGTGTTCCTCCCCATTGCTTTATACCACACCAAGGCCTGTCATTACCACGACCCCTAGAGATAAATGCAAATATAAACTCTGTACTCCTGGGGCACCACAATACTGTGGATCTAATGGCATTACTTATAAATGTAAGTTTTATTATATTACATATTTTATTATATACGTGTGAATATTTTGTCTTTGTGAATCACATTTGTGATTCTTGTTGTAAATAAGTTGCTTTAATTTTCAAATTCATTGGTAAACTTTCAATCATGAATTGACTTGAGATAATTAAAGGAGTGCCAGTCTGATAGAATACTATAGTCTGTTAGAATTCTACTCACTGATGATTTGTTGAAACAATAAGGTAAATGTGGATACATACATTGGGTTCTATTTCCTTGTCTGCTTAGATAATGTAGAAGTAAGCCTTATGTTATGAGATTATGTTGTCACATCAAAAATACATTGTAGTGAATTTGCTGATGACATAACAGCAGCATTTATTGGTGAAAATTGTGTTTTCAGATTCAAGCAGATTTCTCTCACCTGAATTACCATCAAAGGCATTTAATGATTGAATCACAATTATAAGCACTACAGATATCTAACTTACTTACAGAGTTACACCCTAAACCAATCACTATCTTACATTAATTTAAAAATCAGTTAAATTGACAATAAATGGGGACACAGCTTAAAAGCAGAAGGGTGTGAGATGGTGAAAAAACAAGGAAAATTTGATGTATATATCCACCTTAAACTAATGTTTATTTTGTAAAGATGTATCATTTTCAATGTAAAAGCATGTGTATATTTTTTCACATAACATTTTGTATGTATATTTATTTCATTAGATCATACCATCAATCACTAGTATATGAATTTTTATCCTAGGTAAAGAAAACTTGGAGTACTGGAATTGCATGGGTCATAATGTAAAAATTGCTTATCCTGGGAAATGTTATCAAAGAACTACTACACCAAGGCCCAGTGCTGTGTTAAACCCATGCACAGCCTCATGCTCCTCCACCCCTCGCATTTACTGTGACCACCATGGCTTTGAATATAGTAAGTCACCCTGTGTTTTAAGAAGTTTATAATAGGTATAATTATCTGTGACTATTTGTTCACTAAGCTTCAATAAGGTAATGGTTAAGAATTTTGTTTTACTATTTCAAGAGGTATCATAGCATTGACAAAAAAAAAAAAAAAAATTAAAGCCAACATTTTACATAACTAAATTTTAGGGTCATACAAAGCATTTTTATCGTAATATTTTGTCTGGAAATATCTCCCAAATACATAACCATATGAATTTGGTTTTAAACATGATATTCTAAAATCAACAATGAAAATAAATGTTCCTAATGAAATAAAATGATTTCCTTTTCTTTACTAGCTGATCAGTGTGACTTCTATCATACTGCCTGTTTGTTCTCAAGAATTGGTAAATCCCTCATACAGTCACCATGTCCCACTGGCAATGTAACTCCTGACGGTACTGGGTTGGGCTTAAGTGTCATTGGGGCCATCATTGGATAGGAATAGAGCAAAACTTCGTCTGTTTTCACATGTACTCAATGCTAATAGCAATAGCTATCAGCAACCATTTAATTGTGGTTTGACATAGACAAAACTTTTAAACCATTTCTTTAAAAGTGAGATCAATAAAGTATACTAACTAGTTGATGTATTTGTAATTCATTGCATTTTTGGGCTAAATTTTTTCCTCATTGCTGTGCTGCAATTGTGGAGGGGGGAAGGGGGAAGTAATCTGAACACACAGATTGGAGCATTGATGGGCTTATATATTTTAAAGATTTAAAATGTAAACAGTGAAAATTAAAAACTGTAACCTACAATGCCATCTTTCAAGTAGGATCCAAGAGTATTTAAATATAATTATTCTACATCCACATTATATATTTTTTCTCAAAATTTCTTAATTAATTTTTTTAATAACAAAGGTTTCATTAATTAATTCAGATTTGATTCTTTCATTTAATTAATATAATTAATGTGAATGTCAACAGTTACACCTTCTCTTTTCAAACTGCTAGAAGATGCAATAAAGAAAGAACATCACTACAGGTTGTACCTCAATTTCTCATCAAAGCTCTGTGCTAGCTCAGGTACAGCATGGCAGTAAAATTTTTATTGAACATAAGATTTGATTTTCATAATTTAATTTCAATAAACTGAAAATTGTGAACCTTAATTATTTTCACATGTTATTTTGTTTAATATCTGGCAAGAAATGAGTGTATCAAAGTAAAAAAAAAATGCATTTTGTTTGCATCAATTTTGAAGCAATTTGAATTGAAACTGTATGCACAGATTTAAATAAATGACATATATGTATTTCCAATAATTGGAGTTCTTGCATAATTTGGACTTGTCACAATTATAATTGAATCAGGCAAGCTTGTTTATCTTTTGACACATATGTACACATTAAGCCGCTGAGACAAAATGTCTGGGTCATGCCAACTTTAAGTTGAAATTCATGACACTCAAGTAAATCTTGTGAACAGAGCCTAACTGGCCATGTGCAATGGATCCCAGTGCATCAGCCAAGAAAGAGATCAACTCTCATCATGCATGAGTGTTATCGCAAAGGATGGTACCTATTTATTCTGATTGCATCACGTTCCATCCCTCATGGGTGACGTCCACATAGAACCTGGAAAAATGAATGGACTGTGGATGGTACTGTTCTGTTTATCAGGTACATGTATGCAAATTAATATTGGATGTCAGATATGTACTATGGTATTTTGATTCTGATTTAAGTGCAGAACCAGTTTAGATGTAAATGAAAGAAAAACACTTCATTTCTACAAAGTTCTTTATAGCTTTTTCTTTACTCTTTGATAGGCTCACTGTTCAATATGTAGTATTACAAATTATTTATTACAGAAAAATACTTAATTTTTATATTATTTATGCAGGTATGGCGTACTTACTTTATTCTATATTTGTATATGTGTGTGTGTTTGAAAGAAAGTTATATACTGTACATGTACATAAAGTTTGATGATGCAATAAAAAAACCATACTGAATAAATCTTTAATGCAAAAAATGTACAACTGCACTCTCGATAAACATAAACTAATACATTTATGTAATGTAAGTGTATATTCAGCAAGTATTATTTTCTTTTTATATGTATGATATATTTCACACAAATAAACAAAATTATTAATTATTATTATATAACTTCAGTGATAACAGTTCATGTGAGAGGCCAACTATCTGAATGTGGCAGGGAATGTCCAGAGGAGTATATTCCAGTATGTGGGTCTGACAGGAGAACTTACGGTGAGTTGAAACATCAAATAATCCATTAGGCATATCCTTGCCACTAAAACTGTAACTGTCCTTCTAAGTGTAAAAGAAACAGAGGTTATTGTGTGGTGCTCTGAAACTATACTGAGGATTTGTAAATTGTGCATTTATTTTGGCTTAACTTTTGGTCCATGTGCATGCTTATATTATTATAAGTGCATGTTTACAGAAAATAATTTAAGATGTGGTTGTTATTTGTAATAACTCTTGATATGAGGACTCCACTGATTAAAATCTTGGACAGTATTTAAAAAGTCACTGAATGCTGGGTAATTGTCTGTATATATTCTGATTGGTCTGTCTGTTGCCGTTGCTGTTGCTGATGCTGTCAGACACATATGTTCGGCCCATAACTTTCAAAGCATATTTTTGTTTTACTTTAAATTCACCAAGTGGCTTTGTTTGGTAAAGAGGCAGGTTGCTTTTGAAAATCAGCATGCTTGGTTTGCATGTACAGTAATAATTCTTTATTTTATTTATTTATCTATTTTATTTATTTATTTTTTTTTTTTGCACAATTTTGGTGACATTCTGCCTGTATCTGCCAAACCATAAAGAGGCAGGTTGCTTTCAAAAATTGCCATGATCACTTTACATTTATGGTAATTATTCTGTTTTTTTTTTTTTTTGCACAATTTTGATGACATTTGCCCCATAACTTCCAAATCATATTTTTGTTTTACTTTAACTTTTCCAAGTTGCTTTGTTTGGTAAAGAGGCAGGTTCCTTTCCAAAATCAGAATGATTGGTGTGTACATTTATTATTATTATTATTATTATTATTATTATTATTATTATTATTATTTATTTATTTATTTATTTATTTATTTTTTTTTTTTTTGCACAATTTTTGTGACATCCCCCCCCCCAGCCAAACTGTATTTTTGTATTAGTTAATTTTTTTTTTTTTGGGGGGGGGGGATGGTGAAATTTTCATTTTTCACACATTAGCATTTTAAGTGGCTTTTATATCAAATTGAATTGAATCACTTGCTAGTTTTTCAATCTCCGTGTACCTGTAGTACATAAGGTAAGAGGTTTAGAGTGATTATGCTATTTTAAAGCATTATATAACAGTGCATCAAAATTGGCCAAAACATTTTGTGCACTTTTTCTGTATAATGTTTGAACTATTGACAGTTTTGCTGCCTTGTTTCCTGTATGTTGTCTGTATATTTGCCAGCTTTGCTGTCTAATTAATATAGTTGGTAAATACTATTACTAAATTTACTGTAACAGCCAATGCTGTCAGGGTGTTTTCATTTTTCAAGCATGTTGTAAATGCAGGGCAGACCCAGAATCCACTTCATAAAAACATGAATGATTGAAATTTAACAATCTTTTAAATATAATGCACGTATTGATACTTAAATGTTTAACTTAATTTTGGTTCTTTCAGGTAATGACTGTGAGCTGGACATTGCTATTTGCTTGTTGAACTTGCAGGGGCAACAGTTGAAAAAGCTCGGAGATGGGGAATGTTCACAATTTACCACAGTGCCCACAACCACTACCACCCCAGAACTAACCACCACATCAGGGAAACCAACCATCTCCACCACAACTACAACCCCAAAACCAACCACCACCACCACTACTACCCCAAAACCAACCACCACCACCACTACAACCCCAAAACCAACCACCACCACCACTACAACCCCAAAACCAACCACCACCACTACCACCCCAAAACCAACCACCACCACTACAACCCCAAAACCAGCCACAACACCCTACATCAGATGCCCTAAAGTCCAATGTGCCCCTGGTGCTCAGTCTGTATGTGCAAACAATGGGAAAAAATATGCTTGTAAGTATTTTTTTAATTGTTCATGAAGTAATGACTTTAAAATTTTTATAATATTTTTGTGATTTTTTAAAACCATCATTAGTAATCTTTTTACTGATCATTTATGACACAGATTGACAAAATAAAAAATAAACAAATATTCAAATACTTTTTATAAGTCAGTAATTATCTTGAACAGGTAAAGCATTACTGGACTATGAAAACTGTATGACTCACAGCAGGGCCACAGTGTGGAATTGCAGATGCTGGGAGACAAAGTGTGGACCATTTAATCGGCCTGTTTGTGGAAATGATGGAAAGACCTATGATTGTAAGTAGAAGGAATATGAAAACTGATGATGGTCAATTTTGCACTTGAGTTTTTATTCTTTTTTTTTTATTACAGTAACTTTGTTTTCCCTTATTCAGTATTGTAACTGAAATGATTAGTTTATGTTTACAGGCAAAAGGTCTCCTCTTTTAAGCAAATAATTTTCAAAATTAATAAATTTTCATTTACATACTAGTATGATGGAATTGGCCCTATTCTAGAAAGACGTGTTGAAGACAGTACATGGTCTTGTTAGAATCTTTATAATGTGTATCCATTTTATTTTAGGTAGACAACAATTGGAATACTTTAACTGCCGTTATGGATCCAGAGTGTATTACACAAGGTTAGGGGCATGTCCAACAACTAAACCAGGACCTACAACCCCCAAAAGTGTATCAAATCAGTTGTCGGAGGTGGAAAAAGCTTGTCTAGATATTAAGAATGGGAACTGCCGGACAACATCTTATGTATGTGTAGCACCAGATTGGAAAACATACAGTAAGTAATGAAAGTGTGTGTGTGTGTGTGTGTGTGTGTGTGTGTGTGTGTGTGTGTGTGTGTGTGAATATGAGCTGTTAAAAACACCATCATGAGCTGTTAAAACTAAAATTGAAAACAATGATCTGTATTTATCCATTTGTATTTTAACATTGTATTTTAGCATGCGTGCGTGCATGTGTGTGTGTGTGTTCACCAAATTACAGATACTTAAAAAAATTCTTAATTGATCACACTCTGTATTGTTTGCTCTTTGATAATGACAAAATCTGAACATTGAATATGTTGACAATTTCAGGAACATTTGGATATTTATGACAATTTTACCTCCAAGAGCAAGAGTGTACCTAAAAATAAAAACAATAAAAATGACAAGCTTAAACTGTATTTTGCATACTTTATGTCATTGTTTTCAGCATGCATGCCTATGAATTTTTTCAAGATTTCCACAAAACTTGCCATATGTAGCATGACTCAATTAAGCCACTGTCACAGCTAGCAAAGATGATTAATTATATATATTTTAGTGAATGATACTGTAAATATGTTTATGTTTGTCAAATGTGATGTAACACTGTAGGTCATAAATTGTATTTTTTATGGTCATAAATGGCATTTTGCTGAAGAGCTTTCTCTTATGTTTTTCAGATGAATGTGAGTACTTGAGGGCTAAATGCCATAATGGAGATGGTACTCCTATTTGGTGGCATGGGGGAAGATGCATTGTAAATGTGGACATTAACAACCTATTTGGATAGAAAAACTGGAACTCATTTGTTACATATTCCAAATTCTGTTACTTGTTTCTTGTGGTGAAATAAACATCTGTTACATATGTTTTTCCAGATCAGATATCCTCAGCTGCAAGTATATAAAGCACCAAAACAATTTTAATTGTTACACTAAGTCACTCACATATAACCTAACTAACTAATTCACTAAAAAAATTCTTCCTGACTAATATTTTAACTATTTAAACATAACATACTCAGCCAAATGACATAACCAGTAACCAACATCCCAAATGGCAAACGCATGGTGACAATTTTGACACCTATATGTCATATATGACAACTGATATCACAGCTAGGGAAGTTACCTAAAATGTTAACATAAGAGTGAAGATAATTAAAACAACCCACCAGCATATCAAAAGCATCATAAAACCAGTAAAATCACTTAAAAATATTTCTTTATGAATTTCTAAAAGAATGTTATATGAAGAAAAAACAATGCTATTAGTCTTGATGAGTGAGCAATAAAGCCAAGGATAAACTTGCAATGTAACTTATCTATTATGGCATCAAATAGAGAAAGAGATACCCTCATGCAATCGTAACAACAGACAAAATGGCTTTTTAAAAAAATTAAGGGATACTTGTACTAAAATACCCAGACATTGGGCCAACTTTGCCTGACATTGAATAACAGACATTGGGTTGTCATTGGTCCACTAAAGATATTATTTGCCTGTACCTCAAGGTTGGAGTGACCACATTTGATACTGGGACTAATACAAAATCTGCATGCAAAGAATATTGGCTGTCAGTGGTGAAATTCCATGAAAATCTTTGGGCTTGTGTACCAGACCTTCCCATTAAAAACCATCCGCTTCACATCTGAGGACTTGCAAGAGGTTGGAAAGCAAAGATTGAAGGGAAACATGAAACTAAAACTTTGGGCCTGGAGACTGGGATTTCTGAATTACACATTTACCTTGTCTGCCTCAACCTACAATATTAGTAGCTACTCAGTAACATGATAAAAAAACTTGGTCACTGAGTTCAGAATGAGACAGCCTGACTGTTTCCACGCCTTCACAATCAATACACCTGTTCTACATGTACTGTACTTACTACCACTGTGATATAGACTGGTGTTAATACCAAATGCAGACAGCCTGACATACTACTACCTTTGTATAGTGTACACCTAAGAAGATGAAGACATTATTTTTGCTATGTCTTACAGGTATATGGATTATGTTTTATTACATATTACACAGGCAGATACAGCATTCCCTTTCCCCATCTCACCCTGCTGTAAAGACATCATTGAAAAGAATGGTGCATTTTTGTTGATTATGCTGTATCTGTGGGCTTTTCTTTTCCCTTTTCAGTCCCACCACTTTTGTTTTGGAAAGGGAGAAGGACATACCCTTATATTATGTCTCTGCTTGTGAACTGTTATGTAGTCTATATTTATTTTTCAAGTGTTTGCATACCACTGTAACAGTTATTATTTAAACTGTGATAAAACCTATCAAACGTAGTGTCTAAAAATTAAGCAACAGATAATTTTTTACAGATTTTAATATTGACTAGAAATGCTTTAGAAACATATAATACATTAATCATATATATCATAAATAGTTAATTATTGATAATAACTATATTGGTTATAAGAACATTAAATGCACTTATTCCCAGTGTTGAGCAGTTTGGTAAAATGCCAAGACACTAACTGTATCAAGGTTTGTCTGGAGGAGTATATCCCTGTGTGTGGAAGCGATTTAAGGACATATGGTAATTAAGACTATATTTGAGAATGTCAGTGAACAGCATTGATTGTAAGAACTTATCTTTAACCCATTTATATTTTAAATTTTATATTTACCTGTAAAGTAATCACAAATAAGTAGCAATTCAGGGAGATTCATACTATACAATACACAGGTAAAGATAATATCTTGTGTTCTTCTTGTAAATTTTAACCTTGTCTGTTTGACCCTGTAGTGATGGTACCTTTATGAAATATAGGTAAAAGATTACCAATTTAAAACCCAACACTGAGAAGGAAACTGATTATTAATTTTATTTTTTCTTAGGAAATGCTTGTGAATTGGAGAATGCACAATGTTTGTTCAAACATCAAGGACAAACAATTTTCAGTCTTGGACCTGGAGAATGCTCAAAATATACCACTTTACCAACAACAACCAATGAAAAAATAACACAGAACTTAGCAACAGAAAAACAAACCACCACCCCAAAGCCAACTACAATAAAACCATCCACCACCACCAACAAACCAATCAGTACCACATATCCAATTCCATCCACATCAAAGTCAACCACAACCAGAACCACTACAACTCTTCCAACTTCTTCTACAACCTTAACTCTCAAAGCAACCAGCAAAGCTGTAACAACTGCAAAAACCACTTTGAAGCCTGCTGCTACCACCCCATATATAAGATGTCCTAAAGTCCAGTGCCCCTCTGGTGCTCGGTTTGTTTGTGCAAACAATGGGAAATACTATACTTGTAAGTATGTATTTGTCCTTGTATAGTGATGATATTTTGAAAATATTATAACCATAATTTCTGGTATTTTACCACATTGTTGCTAATTAAAAACAGTAATTAATTTACTTTTTAATCTTTTTATAGATGACACATTAGGAAGGGATTTTTAGAAATATTTTTATATGTCAGAAATTATTTTCAGGTAAGGCATTACTGGACTATGAAAACTGTATTACAAACAGTAGTTCCAAAGTGTGGAATTGTGGATGCTTCAAAAGGAAGTGTGGCCTATTTAATCCCCCTGTTTGTGGAAGTGATGGGAAGACCTATACATGTAAGTAGAAACGAAATAATGAATGTTTTTGCACATGAGTTTTGTCTTCCATTTGTCTCCCTGCATATCCTATATTATAAATAGATTGTCAGAAAACCATACTTGCAGAAGACATTTTTGAAGCAATTTTGCTTGTACCAGGTATGAAGAAGCAAAGTATTTTATTGGAAAAAAAAAAAAAAAAAAAAAAAAAAAAAAAAACCTGAAGGCCACTCCTGGTGGAAATTGATCTTAAGTCATATTTGATGCATTTTCATTTAGTAAACCCCAATTACTGTAGTAGTATAAAAATATGTTGAAAAAGCAATTTCTTTATAGAAACATCACTTCATAGTATATCCATTACATTTTAGGTACACAAGAAATGGAATATTTGAACTGTCGTTATGGAACCAAAGTGTCTTCCACAAAGTTTGGGGCATGTCCTACAATAAAACCAGGTCCTACCACCCCTAAAAGTACAACAAATCAGTTGTCAGAGGTAGCAAAGGCTTGTCTAGATATTAAGAATGGGAACTGCCAGACTACATCTTATATATGTGTATCACCAGACTGGAAAACATACAGTAAGCAATGAAAGAATATATAAATATAAAGCCATATTATAGAAATTTTTCTTTGGAAAAATATGGAGCTGCAAAAACCTTAAACATATTTTGCGCAAACCCATGCAGTTTTACAGAACTCGAGGATAAATATTGGCTTCCAGAAATATTCTGGTAATTAGCAATATGGACAAGATGGGGAGGGGGGAGGGAATGGCCAAAATCATGTACATGTGCAATGATTGTTTAATAAAATACTATTTCTGAACTGATGCTTTATCACCATTGGCATATGGTCTTCAAGCAATGCAAATAAACCAGTATAGTTTTGGTCAATTCTCATGCTTAAACATACTAAGTACTGTTTGTAACCAACGGATATCCAAGATCTTTCACCTTATTAACACCAAGCAAACTGAATTACTCATCCATGCATTTGTAAACTCTAGACTGGATTATTGCAATAGCCTATTGTTTGGAATACCTAACTATCAAATGGAAAAGCTACAATCAATTCAGAACTCTGCTGCTCGTCTCCTCTGTAAAGCTCAGAAGTCCGACCACATCACACCAATTCTGCGAAACCTCCACTGGCTACCCGTGTATCAATGAATAGTTTTTAAAATATTACTTTGTCTTTTAAGATTTTAAAGGGCGACTGTCCATTTTACTTAAACTCTACCATAGAACTTTTAACTCCTATCAGATCACTTCGATCTAGTGGACAACTTCAACTTAAGCGAAAAGACACCAAAAAGACTCTTAAAACATATGGACACAGAAGTTTCGAGATTTGTGCACCGATTTTATGGTCTAATTTTATCACAAGATCTAATGTGTCTCTGGATGACTCATATTACTGTTTTAAGAAGAATTTAAAAACTTTTTTATTTAAAAAATACTTTAATTTATAGCATTTTTTTAGTTTTTAAAATTTTTAAGTATTCTGTTTTTAGTCTATACTGGCTTTAATTTATCTGTGGAGTTTTTATTTTTTTATGTAAACAGCACTGAGATGCATGTGTAACGCGGTTTTAAAGAAGTGTTTTATTATTATTATTATTAATTATCAGATTACCCATTTCTCTTGATACAGGCACATCACCAATGTTTATACATGTAAATATTTTTGATAAGGCCAAATAATATGTGAATTACAATTACTTGTTATTGGAGAGAGTGATTTGTGCAAAACAGATTAAAGAGGGGGGATCAATACTTTGTTAACTATTTTGGCTCCATTTAATGCTTTTGAAGTGGAGGACCTTTGTTGAAGCCCTAGACGCGCAACGGCGTAATAGGAGATAGATAGATAGAATGCTTTTTAAAGCAATTAAAAAATTTAAAACTAAGAAAATGAACACCACATATTATATATATCTTTTCGCTTTTTAGTTATCATATTTACATTAAGAGATTCTCAAAAAACCATTTCCACAAACAAAGGTCAACTCTCAGTCTATAATCTACTAGTTACTGCATGTTTATATTTGAGAACATATATTCATTGGTATTACTTTTAAGGATGTCGAATGTGATACACCTTTAGGAATTGATCCCAGTTTTAGAAGCTTCTTCTACATTTTTCAGATGAATGTGACTACTTGAAGGCCAAATGTGAGAATGGAGATGGTACTCCTATTTTGTGGCATGGGGGAAGATGCTTGTTGAATGGGATTTTTGGATAGAAAAATTGGCACTCATTTGTGACAGATTTTTATTTTCTGTTAGCATTCTGTGGTGAAATAAACCTCTGTTACTCTTTGTATATGTCTTTTGAGTGCTTATATACATGAATCTTTAAATGTAACTAATTTACAAAACAATTAATTACTCACCCACTTAGCTAACAAACTAACCAATTAGTTTAACAAACAAATAGTTTATTACGATTGAAATGTATGTATTATTGTTTTAAAAGTTACAAATAAAAGATTTAACACTGGTGGTGCATACGTAAGTCAAAAGTCCAGGTACCTTTTCCATGGATACTGCTTAATTTAGAATTGAAAAAAAATTTGACAGGTATCTGCAACATTGTTCAAAACTCTTATTGAACTGGGTATAACCATTGATTTATTTATTGAACATAATGAAAGACAATATTTCATTTATTGTGATTGATGAATAATAATAGTAGAGACAGATAAAAATTTAATTAAAAAATAGGTAGATATTTATTACTTCTCCCCAAGGATTCAAGGCGTAAAATTAATACAATTTAAAGAGGGGAATAGGAGGAGGGGGATTGACTTTCTGAAAACTGCCTTAATTTGCACCACCTCATTTTTTCTCTCTCTCTATCTTCTTTTTTTATTTTATCTTCATTTAAAGTCATCTGCCATGTGGCGCACATTGAAGTCAATATCACATTGACAGACCTGGTGGTCATCAAGTTCAGACTGTGACTGCATGTGGAACAGATATACACCACCACGTCCCATACAGCTGTTCCGCTACCCACAGTCTTCTCAGGTGTCCTTATCAAGTACACGCTGCCTGGCACACATACAAGAAGACACCTATGACGATGAAGACCTTTTTTCTGCTGTGTCTAACAGGTATATATTAACTTTTTATATGAAATATGTTAAGCATTTGATTAAATAAAAAATTAGGCATTCTCTTAAATATGATAAATAATTGTAAAACAGTTTAAAAATACAGGAACTTATAAGGCCATTTTCTGTACATCTTCTTTGGATTATAGTTTCTGTCAATTTATTATTTAATTTATTCATTCCTAGTGACCAGCAGTTTTGTGAAATGCCAAGAAGCTGGCTGTGCCAAAGTTTGTCCAGAAGAGTATATCCCTGTGTGTGGAAGTGATTCAAGGACATATGGTAAGACCCTCATCTATTCCCAGTAATATACATCTATGTATCTGTATTTCTGTATATGTGTGCATGCACTAGTATGTATGTGTGCCTGTACATGCTTCAGTATACATGTAGCTCTTCTTGTCATGATGCACACAGATTATACATAAATTTATCTTGAATTTATTTTTAATTTGGGTGTAAAATAATTGCTGGAATTACCACAGTAACAGTTTGTGTCAAATACATTGTAGAATAAGATTATGATCTGAAATATGGGTTGCTAGCTGGGCAAGTCTTAATAAAGGATACTGAAACCATTTACCATTGCCATATTTACTGCCTGACAAACATTTTTTGGGGATTACAGATGAATATTCAATGTTAGTGTTCAGTGACTAAATTAATTAATATTTACACACATTCCATCTTACGGGTGACTTCACAATTGCAATTTTGGGGTAAAATAGAAAAATAATTTTTTTCTCAAATTTCTACTTTACCTGAGCACCCGCTAACACCATTTCAACACCAATTTAATGACACCATTTAGTACTCAAAAACCCTGCCTGCAATTTTTCTTAAAAGTTGTAACTCCTTAACAAAAATATTAAAACCAAAATGATGTCACTGGATTGAAGCCCATACAATTGTGGTCAGCTATGCCATTTTTTTTTTTGGTGATAAAATCTTGTTTACCGATGAAGTTATGTCCCATACTGATCGCTGTCTCACCTAAAAATTGAAAGATGTTAAATTGACAATAAAAGCTTTGAGTTGCCTATGCTTATATATACATAGCAATGAGAAATATAAATGCTGATATTTTATATTTTTAAGGGGATTTTTATTGTTAAGATAAATGCTTTATTAAATTATCAAATGCAGGAAAAACCTCATTTTCACTATCTCAATGATAACACACCTTTACAGTGCCCTTAAAATCAAAGGTTTTAACACTTTTTAAGGAGGGAAATTTAAAGGTAATCTTTTATTATTACATTTTTTTCAAGGAAATGCTTGTGAATTGGAGATTGCAGAGTGCCTGATGAAACAGCAAGGGCAGACTCTTTTCAGTCTAGGGCCCGGAGAATGCTCAAAATATACCACACCAAAACCAACCACTACCACCAAGCCAACTACAACCACCCCAGAACCAACCACAACCACTCCAGAACCAACAACCACCCCAGAACCGACTACTACCCCCAAACCAACCACAACTATAAAATCCACAACTGTTCCAACTACATCAACTCCTGAACTTACCACTCCTAAACCCACAACCACGGTAGAACTGACCACACCAGAACCAACAACCACCCCAGAATTAACTTCCACGAGAAATCCAGCAAGTACCCAAAAATCAATTGCCAGCCAAAAACCAACTGCCACTGCAGCTGTCCTGTCTAAGGCTACAACAACCTCAGCCAAAGTTTCCACTACTGTTAAACCCCCAGTTTCTACACAACAGTTGCCAAGTACAACCAAAAGACAGTGCGTGTATAAAGGATGCCCCTCACCCTATCCATATGTTTGTGGCAGTGACTACCACAGCTATGCATGTAAGTTTCTATCTCCTGTGCAATGTTTATGTGCATGCACATAGTGTAGATGTAAAATATGCAAAAGATCTTACTAACTGATGTGAAGCAACCACAAACTCCTGTAGCTTATTTTAGAAGGTAAACTTCAATCTTTATTGACTTCAAAACTGTTTTAACACATTTAGAATAGCTGTTAATTATGTTCAATGACCATATACATATATATATATATATATATATATATATATATATATATATATATATATATATATATATATATATATATATATATATATTTCTTTTCCTAATATAGGTGAAAATAACCTTGATTATTGGAATTGTTACCGTGGCACCAACGTCACTGTTGTCCACAAAGGTCAGTGTGGCAAGTGCCAACAGGTCAAGTGTCCAGCTGATGCCAAACCTGTGTGTGCTAGAAATGGGAAGCAGTACCAATGTAAGAAGACAAACATTCAAACAATTTCTAAGAATCCTCTTACGTACACCCCTATCTGAACACACACACACACACACACACACACACACACACACACACACACACACACGTGCACACTACACGTGCATATACAAGTGTGGTTGCATCAGAGAGTTGAAAAACTGTGCCCAAATAGTCAAAATGAATTTAATTAAAAGAGATTTCATTTAAAGTTATTCAGAACTATTTAAAGAAAACACCAAAATTATGCAAATACAATTAGTGCAAAAGAACTATAATTTCCATATAAAGTAATTTTCATACATAATAACAGGTTCTTCGACCACATTTGCACCACAATTATTTTGTAATAATATTTGTTATTTTTACTTGCCATTCAGGTAAAGAGGCCCTTGATTACTTGAATTGTTTGTATGATACCAGGATAGGAATCCTGTATGAAGGCCAGTGTTGTGAAAACATAAGACCTTATTGTTACTACAGCGATAGTGTGTGTGGTACAGATGGAAAAACCTACCAATGTGAGTATACATCTTGGAGTTGAATGTCCAGAGGTGAAAAGATGGTATGTAGGATTATCCTTGTCATATAAAGAAGCCATTTTCTGTTTACCTTATTTTTACCCTTACATTATTTAGATTATCATCATTTGCATCTTGCATCATATTTAAGAAGTAAAATTACTGCTCCAGCACTAAATAGGAATTTTTGCACATGTACATGGTATGCACATGCATTTAAATTATTCACTTAACTAAAAAAAGGTTAAAAGAAATATGGTTTTAAAATGTTATATCATTAAAATAATAAATAGTAAATATAATAAATAAAATATAATAAATAAAATATAATAAAATAGAGGTTTGGGACTTATGATTAAAATGATTGAAAAAATTGATTAGAAATACTGAGAATGACACCAGAAAATTTATTCTTAAGTGATGTTTACTTTTATCTGACATACAATATTCAAGAGAGATATTTTATTTTTGAATTTGAAGTCAAGTTTTAGAATTCTTTTTTGTTCTTTTGTTAAGTTGTACTGATAAACATTGAACTCCATCCCAAAAATTTGAAAAACATTGTTAAGTACATGTATAATTTATCAGTGAAAATACAAACATATTTGAAAGATAAAATATGACAATAATAAGTTCTTATTTTTTCATCAAGGTGCTAGTAGTCTTACATACTGGAACTGCAGAAACAACAACACTGTTCAAGTTGCTCACACTGGGTCATGCAGGACTTCAGCTACTTCCTTCTCCAAGTGTTCACTGAATGAATGTGCTCCCAACAGTACACAAGTGTGTGGAAATGATGGAAAACAGTATGCATGTATGTGTGAGGAGCAAAAACATTGAGCAATATCTATTTTAATAGATACCCCAGTAGTTAAGCTTATAGGCAGAGCTAGGTTGGAGAGGGGGGGGTCAAACAAAACACCCTTTTGGCCACGAAAAATTCCACTTTATGTCAAAATTTAAAAAAAAGAAGCACCAGTAGCTTTTGTGGTAAAAAGATAAACTTTTTCCAAAAAAAGAACATCTTGTTTTTTTTTTAAATAATGGCTACATACTAATGTTAAGAAATACAACTTTGCCTATAGCCATGCACTCTTATGGGGTTTGATTGCATACGCAGTATGATTTACCATGCATGCTAGAAGATACCTATATTGGTAATACTTACAAACCTTTTCATTTATAATATCTATACTGTTAGAAACTTTCAGTCAATAAAACATGTCTTAAGTACCTGATATACTGGTACTCAGCATTGCTTTGTCCAAATTTTCATAAAAACATGCTGTACACAGTTTTTGTGTGATTTCTGACTTGCATTGCTTAAACTTGCAAAACACTTGTTGATATTTTCAGGCAAGGAAAGGCTTGATTACTTAAACTGTGTTTATCAGACCAGTATTAAGGTAGCCAAGTGCTGCACTCACAAGGGCTGTCGTTACAGAGGTGTGCAATGTGGAACTGATGGCAAAAACTATCAGTGTGAGTTTTTTAATGCAGTTATCAAAACAAAAAAATGTAAAAGTTATAATTAGCTGTAATAAGAAAACATATCAAAACAGCATATAGTTTTTTTTTGTGTGTGTTTGTGTGAATATAAGCTGTTAAAAACACCATCATGAGCTGTTAAAACTAAAATTGAAAACAATGATCTGTATTTATCAATTGTATTTTAACATCAGTTTTCTAGAATCCCCAAATAAACACTCAATCTCCACAAATGCCTTAATTGTAAAAATGATGACATAGCAGAGTTGCGATTCTGCCATAAAGCAAAAGTATAACTCTCATTATTTGATAAAAAATTATAGATATTTCTACTGAACTTCAGGTGAAAACAGCATAGATTACTGGAACTGTAGGAATGGCACCAACACCAAGATAGCCCACTCAGGATACTGTGAAGTGGCGGGACAGTATTCCAAGTGTGTCCTTAAAGAATGTGCAAATGACAGCAATCCTGTATGTGCCAGTGACACTAACAGGAGATATGATTGTAAGTAAGAGTAAGACAGTGGTCACACCTGAACTAACTTAATCCAGGCAAAGTCTACATAATATCAAAAGGAGGGACCCTTTTTGCGTTTAAGAATTTTAAATCCCTTGTTATCTAAAATGGAGACTTAAGACTGCATGTACTTCCAGTTTCTGAAATCAGTATTACATGTATACTCTGTGTACCTGAACCGCAGACCAAAAATAACATTACCAAAATTATTGCCAATAAATGGCTGAGAAAAAATTTGCCTTGGTGTTTTCAAAGGAAATGAAAAAATTAGATTTACATAATTTTTCATGGAAGTATGCCAAAACCCTTAGATATGTGCTTAGCATATCAATTCATTTATATTCATTTGTTTTTTATATAGGCAAGGAGTCTCTGGACTACATGAACTGTGTCAGAAACACAAGTGCATTGGCATACAATTGTTGCCCAACTACAAAATGCAGATCATGGGAAGATTATGTCTGTGGAAGTGATGGAACCACATATTCATGTAAGTACACTTTATTTAGTCTTTGAGAAAATAAACTTTATAATTACTATGTTATTTTTAAGTAATTTTTACTCACACTCAACCTGTGGATTTTTTAAAATAAAACATCCTCTTCTTCATCATGAGTTTTATTTCATACTCGATTTGCAGAATGTGACAGCATTTTTTCATGTGTTATTTGATATCAGTTGCCAGGATGTCTAACAGCTAAAATTATAGTCAAGAATGATAATATTTTAAGTTATATTCTCACATTAACTGCATGCCAACATTTCTTATTAGCATCAGGTAATTCTTATATCTCTTAGATCTTCAATTAATTGTTTCTTCCTCATTGACGAGAGCTATTGAAAGAACAACAATTGACAAAGGGCCGAGGCATGCAGCATCTATTTCACTGGCTTGAAAATTTACCGAGTCTTGTCGACGATGTGGTCGAACAATCGGAACAAGAAAAAAATTCTGTCCCATGATTTTGACGTATGGACTAATTGTTTGAGCCCAGAAAAATTAATTTTATAAAATAATTTTTGTGGTCGGATTGACTGGGCCCGTCGAAATGCTTGGCACATTACCATAAAAGGGGAAGAGGTTATTTAGATTACCCAACTTAGTACATTCACTGGGATGCTTTCAAACTTTAATAAATCATTGTGATTTTAATCATTTAACCAATTAGAAACGGTTCTGTTTGCACAAACAAACTATGTTGTGTTGTCAAGGAATATTGAGATTTGAGTTGGAATGATACTGGAATCTGAAACTTTTTTTTTTTTTTCAATTTTTTCAATTTAAAGAAAAAAGGTGAAGAATGCTTATGTGCCCAAACAGCCTTATCTTTTTTTCTATTCTAAGAAGCATCTACAATAAATGTTACCTAAATTTGCAAATTTATTGTTAGTATTTCATTCGTGATTTACACATTACATATTACATATTTTAATACCATATGGAATCAATTAGCTTGATGTTAGCATCACACCTAAGATATCTCTTCTCTAACAGGTGAGAGTGACATCAAATACTGGAACTGTAGAAAGGGAACCAATGTCACTGCTTTGCATTATGGCAGCTGTGTGGCACCCCCAGCAACTTATGCCAAGTGCCCTGCGAAGCCTTGCCCAGCTGATAGTAAGCCCATATGTGGTAGTAATGGAAAGAATTATGACTGTAAGTTGACTGTTGACTTTTTGGGTGACTATAATTAATAGTAATTGTGTACCAAAATGCCATGCAAAATTATTAAGTCACCTATTTTTTTCATAAGCAAAAACAGACCAACAAATGAGTGTATAGATAGATGTTGATGAAAAAATAATTTCAAATTGATAAGGCATTTTGTAAACCCACGGAGGTTGCACTGTTCTCTGCTTGCATTTGCCAATGTTACTTAGTGCAGATACCCAGTAGAAATGAAACCAGTAAAAAAAATCAGATATTAACATTGAGCTTTTCTTCTCCTACAGCTGTCACTTTTTTTTTCAGGCAAGGAGCACATGGAATGGTCAAGTTGCCTCTACAATGAGTCTGTAAGCATGGAGTATGAGGGGACATGTTGTCCCTCCTTCTCCTGCTCTTCATCCAGCTCTGCTGTCTGTGGCACTGATGGACAGACATACCAATGTAAGCAGACTTGACAAATTATATAAGAAAATAATCCACTTTAATGGACTTAAACACTGTAAAAAGACTGTAACTGTATTAAAGAATGGATTACAGTCTGTAAGTACTGTGATAAGCATTTTGACAACACTTAATCATCTTAAATTAACCATATAAAAATGAAAAATTAAGTATTCAGATTAGATATAAACATTAAAATTTGTGGTAAGTAAGAATTGATGATTTGATAAGTTAAAATGAATAACTCTGCTTAATTCTTTTTTGCTTATGTGTTGTCTATATGGAGATCAATGCCTGGGTATTGCTAGTTTATATAAAAGATTATATCATTATTTCCATTTATTATACACACAACTGTATTTATGACTAACATCTTTACATCTAGGTCTTAATGCTTTGTCTTACTGGAATTGCCGCAATGGAACTAGTGTCAAGGTTGCCTATTATGATAAATGCAACCCTGCAATCACAGCTATGGTTGCCAAAGCCTGTGCTGACTATAAGGCTAACAATTGCTCAGTTACCTCCCGCTTCTGTGCCAACAATGGGTATACATACAGTAAGTAGTAATCATGTAGTGAAAAAAAAAATTATTTGTCATTTATGAAATTGTAAATTAAACATTTGCTAAGTCAGTAAGAAGATGTCTCAAACTTGGCTCAGTCCAGACATTATTTTCACCTGATTGTACAGCACTTTTGCTGCATTTATGGTAAGTAGAATAATTATACATATATACAGAAGCATTGTTTCAGTGATTAATACAGAAGAATATGGCTTACTTTGCTATTCAATTTGCAGATGGATGTTCTCTTGTTCGAGCTCAGTGTAGCAAAGCTAATGGCTACCCTAAAATCAAGTATGCAGGATCCTGCAGTTGGATTGACTCTCTCATTGGGTAACTGGACTACCCAGGTCCTATGTATATATATATATATATACAGCAGTATGTGATGGATTCTTAAATTGAATAACCAAATGCAATCTATACTTGAAAGTCGATGATATTGTGCAAAATGCCACAACATCTGAAATAAAAGAAAAAGCTGATGTCATGATTTTTGAAGTTGGATTTATTGATATTTTTCACTATTAACAATAATAAAAAAATTAAAATTCCTCAATGTAAGAGAAAAATCCTTTGCATTTATCCAGTATTTCATAGTCTTCATTGACATATAATAAAGACTGACAAGACTTAAGAGGTGAAATGTTGGAGATTTGTAACTGTGTATGGACAATTGAAAGCTTTAATAAAACTGCTGAATAAAAGCATGGTTTTTATGTGATACATGTAAGACTGGGTTCCCACAGATTTAGATTGATCCATCTGGATCGACCTAACTCCCTGTAGTCCGGTTGCTTAGNATTTTTAAATTAATTTTGTTTTTATAGTCAAATATGATCTATTTTGGAATTCTCTTTTGTTATCTTGTTAAGTTGTACTGCTAAAAATTTAAGTCCATCCTTTAACAATTTCAATAACAAGTCTGTAAAGTATACATGTTAATGTTGTTCTTTTTCCAGTGAACATACAGTCATATTTGAAAGAAAAATGTGACATGAATAATAAGTAAGTTCTTATTTTTTCATCAAGGTGCTAGTAGTCTTACATACTGGAACTGCAGAAACAACAACACTGTTCAAGTTGCTCACACTGGGTCATGCAGGACTTCTGCTACTTCCTTCTCCAACTGTTCACTGAATGAATGTGCTCCAAACAGTACACAAGTGTGTGGAAATGATGGAAAACAGTATGCATGTATGTGTGTAGAACAGAAACATTGAGCAATATCTATGAAGACAGTTAAGCCCATAGGCAGAGTTCGGTTTGGAGCATTTATTTTCTGGCCAGTTTACAGGAGTGATGGGAAAAACTGCAATTGTGTTTTGATAAAAAGGGTTGAAGAGTGACTAAAAGGGGAAGAGGTTATTAGGATTAGCCCTACATTTACAGGGGTACTCTCAAACTTTTAAACAAAACACCCTTTTAGCCAGGAAAAAAGTCCACTTTATATCAAAATTTAAAAAAAAAGAAGCACCAGTAGCTTTTGTGGTAAAAAGATCAACTTTTTCCGAAAAAGAACATCTTGTTTTTTTTTAATTGTTGGCTACATACTAATGTTAAGAAATGCAACTTTACCTATAACCATGCACTCCTATATACTGGTACTCAAGCATTGATTAAACTTGCAAAACACTTGTTGATATTTCCAGGTAAAGAAAGGCTTGATTACTTAAACTGTGTGTATCAGACCAGTATTAAAGTAGTCAAATGCTGCACTCACAAGGGCTGCCGTTACAGAGATGTGCAATGTGGAACTGATGGCAAAAACTACCAATGTGAGTTTTTTAATGCAGTTATCAAAACAACAAAAAATGTAAAAGTTATAATTAGCTGTAATAAGAAAAGATATCAAAACAGCATATAGTGTGTGTGTGTGTGTGTGTGTGTGTGTGTGTGTGTGTGTGAATATAAGCTGTTAAAAACACCATTATTGAGCTGTAAAAACTAAAACTGAAAACAATGGTGTGTATTTATCCATTTGTATTTTAACATCAGTTTTCTAGAATCCCCAAATGAACACTCAATCTCCTTAAAGGCTTAAATCATAAAAATGATAACATTGCAGAGTTGCAATTCTGCCGTAAAAAACTAACTCTCATTACTTAATAAAAAATTATAGATATTTCCACTGAACTTCAGGTGAGAACAGCACAGATTACTGGAACTGTAGGAATGGCACCAACACCAAGATAGCCCACTCAGGATACTGTGAAGTGGCGGGACAGTACTCCAAGTGTGTCCTTAAAGAATGTGCAAATGACAGTAAACCTGTATGTGCCAGTGACACTAACAAGAGATATGATTGTAAGTAAGACAGTGGTCAAACCTGAACTAGCTAAGTCCACAAGACATCACAAGGAGGGATTCTTTTTGTGTTTAAGAATTTTAAATTCCATGTTAAGCAATATGGAAACATAAGACTACATGTACTTCCAGTGTCTGAAATCAGTATTATTTTGATAAAGTGTACCTTAGCCACAGACCTAAATTTACATTACCAAAATTTATAGCTTAGAAAAAAATTGCCTTGTTTTTTTTTTCAAAGTAAATTTTTCATGGAAGTATGCCAAAACCCAAGATATGTGCTTAGCATATCAATTCATTGATAATCATTTGTTTTTTATATAGGCAAGGAGTCTCTAGACTACATGAACTGTGTCAGAAATGCAAGTGCATTGGCATACAATTGTTGCCCAACCATAACATGCAGATCATGGGAAGATTATGTCTGTGGAAGTGATGGAACCACATATACATGTAAGTACACTTTATTTAGTCTTTGAGAAAATAAACTTTATAATTACCATGTTATTTTAAAGTAATTTTGACCCACACTCAACTTGTGGATTTTTTAAAATGAAACATCCTCTTCTTCATCATGAGTTTTATTTCATACTCGATTGCAGAATGTGACAGCATTTTTTTAGGTGTTATTTAATATCAGATGCCAGGATGTCTAATACTGTAGCTAAAATTATAGTCAAGAATGATAATATTTTAAGTTATATTCTCACATTAACTGCATGCCTACATTTCTTATTAGCATCAGGTAATTGTTATATCTCGGAGAAAATCTATAAGATTTTTTCCCCTTTTAGGTCAGAAGAGCCTGGATTACTGGAATTGTAGGCGTGGTTCCTCAGTGAAGGCAGTCCACACTGGGTATTGTACTGCCAAACCTGGCCAATATGCCAAATGTGACCTGAATGAATGTTCCAGTAATGATACTCAGATTTGTGGAAATGATGGAAAGAAATATGCTTGTAAGTGATGTTTACACATTTTATTTTGGATGTACTAATACATTAAATAATTAGGATTAGCCCTACATTTACANAATTGAGTTTAAGATTAAATAATTTGATAAGAGTGACTATTTTTTTACTGAAATTATATATTAATCAATTAATAAGACTTTCTTTGAATATGTCCACAAAAATCATTTCATTTTCTGACCTTAATTATAAACATTTAATGATAATTTACAGAAAAAATTTTGATCATAAATTTGATGTGAAGAACTTCAAGTGAAAGCAAAGAGTTATGTTTATTTTCTCCACTCAGGTAAGGGATTTCTTGACTACATGAACTGCCTCCATAACAGTACTGTGCTGCCATGGCAATGTTGCACACCAGTTCCATGTAGTTATAACTCCAGAACTGTGTGTGGGAATGATGGGAAAAACTATAACTGTAAGTTTACTGAAAATGTTAGATAATGATTTTATCTCCAGACAGTTTGCAGGAGTGATGGGAAAAACTGCAACTGTGTTTTGATAAAAAAAAGGTTGAAGAGTGACTAAAAGGGGAAGAGGTTATTAGGATTAGCCCTACATTTACAGGGGTACTTTCAAACTTGAAAAATTCATTGTGATTATGTAAATGGTTCTTTTTGCTCACCTGCAAACTGATGACATATACTCCCAGTGTCATGTTGTGTTGCCAAGGAATACTGATATTTGAATTTGAATGATCCTTGGATCTGATGCTTTTTTAATTCAAAAAAGGTGCAGAGTACTTATTTGCCCAGGCAGCCTAATTTTTTTTCATTTTAAGAAATATCTATAGATCTGCATCAATTTGCAAGTTCATTGTTAGTATTTCATTCATGACTTACTGTACATATTTTACTACCATATGGAATCAATTACACATAGCTCGATGTTAGCATCACACCTAAGATTATCTTACACTGTATCTCTTACAGGTGAGAATGACATTAAATACTGGAACTGCAGAAATGGAACAAACATCACTGCTTTGCATTATGGCAGCTGTGTGGCACCCCCAGCAACTTATGCCAAGTGCCCTGCGAAGCCTTGTCCAGCTGATAGTAAGCCCATATGTGGTAGTAATGGAAAAAATTATGACTGTAAGTTGACTGTTGACTTTTTGGGTAACTTAATAGTAATTGAGTACCAAAGTGCCATGCCAAATTATTAAGTAACTCCATTTTTTCATAAGCATGACAGAGATGAACAAATGAGCTAGGGTACAGGTAGATGATGATGAAAAATTTATTACAAATTGACAACTTAAGGCATTTTGTGAACCATGGGAGGTTTGGTTGCACTGATCCCTGCTTGCATTTGCCAGTGCCATACAGTGCAGGTAAGAATGAAACCAGTAAAAAAATCAGAAAATTAAAATGGAACTTTTCTTTGCCTACATCTCTTGCTTCTTTTTTAGGCAAGGAGCACATGGAATGGTCAAGTTGCCTCTACAATGAGTCTGTAAGTGTGGAGTATGAGGGGACATGTTGTCCCTCCTTCTCCTGCTCTTCATCCAGCTCTGCTGTCTGTGGCACTGATGGACAGACATACCAATGTAAGCAGACATGACTAGTTATAAGAAAATAATCCACTTTAATTGACTTAAATACTTCTGTCATTTGCACATTAAAAGTAACTGTGACTGTATAAAAGAATAGATTACAGTTTCACCATTTTTGAGCATTTTGAATTTGAACTAATTAAATAATCTCATAAAACATCTTAAATATGAAAAATGAAGTATATTCAGATAAGATATAACATTTAATGTTAAACATTTAAATCTGGCCTGCAATCTTTGATGATTTGAGGAATTGAAATGAATACCTCTACCTGAATTAAAAAAAAAGAGAGAAAAAAATAATTTCCCTTCTGTGCTGTGTGGCTTATTTGGAGATAATGATGCCTGGATATACAACAGCTAGTGTATATGAATGATTATACAATTTCCATATATAATGCACACATCTACATCTACAATAACATATTGATGAATAACATCTTTACCCCTAGGTCTTAATGCTTTGTCTTACTGGAATTGCCGTAATGGAACTAGTGTCAAGGTTGCTTATTATGATAAATGCAACCCTGCAATCACAGCTATGGTTGCCAAGGCCTGTGCTGACTATAAGGCTAACAATTGCTCAGTTAGCTCCAGCTTTTGTGCCAACAATGGGCATACATACAGTAAGTAATAATCATGTAGTGAAATAAGAAATTATTTGTCATTTATGAAATTGTAAATCAAACATTTGCTAAATCAGTAAGAAGTTGTATCAAACTTGGTAGTCTAGACATTTTCACTTGATTGTACAGAACTTTTGCTTCATTTAAGTAAAATTATTTTACATGTACAGGAGCATTGTTTCAGTGATTAATTCAGAAGTACACATACACGGCTCACTTTGATATTCAATTTGCAGATGGATGTTCTCTTGTTCGAGCTCAGTGTAGCAAAGCTAATGGCTACCCTAAAGTGAAGTATGCTGGATCTTGCAGCTGGATTGATTCTATCTTTGGGTAACTGGACTACCCAGGTCCTATATATACACAGCAGCATATGATGGATTCTTAAATTGAATTAACAAATGCAAACACATATTTAAAAATCAATGATATTGTGCAAAATGTTACATCTGAAATAAAAGAAAATGCTGGTTTCATGATTTTTTATGTTGGATTTATTGATATTTAACACTATAAACACTGATCTATGACAAAACAACTTCATTATAATAACAGATTTTGAACTGTTTTTCACTTAGATCTACACCTTTTTCTGCTAGCTGTGAACAATTGATAGTGTTATTGTATTTATCATAATTTTAACAAGCACTGGTACATGAAGCAAGTCATCCTGTTTATGAGGCAAAATGGTCAACTTTTCATTCTACAAAATAATAAGAACCTGCTCTTTAGGGTAAAAAAAATTAAATTCCTCCATGTAAGAGAAAAATCCATATCTTTCATATTTATCCAACATTTCATAGACACATAATAAAGACTGACAAGAGTTAAGAGATGAAATGTTGGAGATTTATAACTGCGTATGGATGATTGAAAGCTTTAAATAAAACTACTGAATAAAAGCATGGGTTCTATGCGATACATGTAAGACACAACTGGTCAGATAAAAAGACAGGCATGTAAATATGTCACAGCAAGAGAAAATATGCTGTTTACACGTCCCATGCAGTCAATTAAATCTCAACAAATGCAATGTGGAATTATCATGTACAACCTCCAGACATACATGTAGTAACTTATCAAACAAGCATCCCCATGTTCTTTAATAAATACTTGTATGTGAATATAGTACTTTTTTTATAATCTATTTAGAATATTCTGCCATTTCTTTCAAATTGTTTTGCATTTTTGCAATATCACTTAAATGGTTCAATCAGGGAGAATAATGTTTCCATGCCCAGATACAAGCATGTATTTACCAGGTACCTAAGTCCTATGATATATCAGATGATCTGATAGGTTTTCTTATGACAATGAGTATCCTGTGCTAAACCTAAACACTGTGTGTCAAAAATAAAATTAATTAATAAATTTAAAAAAATATAATTTTTTTTAAATTAAATAAAACACCTGTAGTCCTAGGATTAAGGAGGGTGGTATCTGTTGAAAGACTTTGAAACATCTACCCAAATAACTGAGCTGCACAAGGTTGTTTGAATGACAAATCCTTTTCAAACAACATCTTGATAAGATCTCACTGGTATAACCGTGTTGAGGTAGTGTTCACTCAAGCCAAATCCTCCGTGATGCTAGAGAAGAAAATGGCTACTGTTTTAGTCCTTCTATCTTTTGCAGGTAACCATCTAGTATTTATTTCTTTTAAAATTTGATTTTACATCTGCATTCTTTAGAAATGTTTATTGTTAACTTTTTAGATTTAGATTGGCATATTCCATGCAGTTATGTGTTTTATTATTGGTTTATATTAGTGGTACCTGCAACTTGTGCATGAATTCATTTAAACTCATTTATGAAATTTCTATATTTAGTGGAATATGTTGCAGCAATTCCACAAGTTAAAGTTTGCTTTGCTAAAAATTAAAATTAGACATTTCAAAGATTCTCCTGCCATGATAACTGTGAACATTTGTTTTCATTGTTCCACAGCAGTTCTCAGTGGCAGGCAATTTTCTTCACAATTTAGATGTAGCAATACCTTTAATGTGACTTTCATTTATAATGATCATCAAGTTCTGACTGTTTGTAGTTGCTGTCCAGAGTGAGCTACCTGCTGATTGTAACAGTCCCTGTCCAGAGGAATACACTCCCGTGTGTGGCTCTGATGGAAGGACTTATTGTCAGTACCACAAATAATATAAAGTTGTGGAAAATTGTTACCTTTCATCCAATTGATCCAATAAATGATTTCTTAAAATGCATATTATGAAATTAGGCCTTCGGCCATTAAATTATTTGGGTTCAGAAGATCATTGTCCTTTGCCTTAGGTACAAGATTGGCATTTATAAGATTTTCATTTGAAATTCTGATATTTTAGGGAACCTTTGTGAGTTGCAGGTTGAATCATGTCTGTCTGTTGTAAAAATAAATGCAATTGCTGACATGGAATGCTCAGCACTTACCACTAAAACCACTACCACTTATAAGACAACCCCAGAATCAACTACCCCCAGTACCACGAAAAAACCAACAAGTACCCAAAAACCAACTGCCACTGCAGCTGTCCTGTCTGAGGCTACAACAACCTCAGCCAAAGTTTCCACTACTGTTAAACCTCCAGTTTCTACACAACAATTGCCAAGTACAACCAACAGACAGTGTGTGTATAAAGGATGCCCCTCACCCTATCCATATGTTTGTGGCAGTGACTACCAAAGTTATGCATGTAAGTTTCTATCTCCTGTGCAATGTTTATGTGCATGCACATATGCTAGATGTTAATTATGCAAATGATCTTACTAACTGATGTGAAGCAACCACAAACTCCTGTAGCTTATTTTAGAAGTTAAATTTCAATCTTTATTGACTTTAAAACTGTTTTAACACCTTTAGAATAAGTCTCATCATTATATACTAGTTGTTTATTATGTTCAATGACCATATACAATTGGATTTTGTTGAACACTTGTATTTGCTAAGTCCAATCTTATATATAGCTTTTCATTATAAAAAAATACTTGTGATGTTAAAGAGATGGCTATAAAATGTATATATTTATATACTCCTTTTCCTAATTTAGGTGAAAATAACCTTGATTATTGGAATTGTTACCGTGGCACCAACGTCACTGTTGTCCACAAAGGTCAGTGTGGCAAGTGCCAACAGGTCAAGTGTCCAGCTGATGCCAAACCTGTGTGTGCTAGAAATGGGAAGCAGTACCAATGTAAGTAGACAAACATTCACACAATTTCTAAGATTCCTCTTACGTACATACCTATCTGAGCACACGCACACACACACACACACACACACACACACACACACACAGGCATGCATGCATACATGTACGGTTTTAACAGAGAGGTGGTCAACCATTAGAAAATAGAGAAACTGTTCCTACGTAGTCACAATGAAGTTTAAATAGATTTTTCCCTAACTTATTATACTTATTATACACTTTTATTATTTAAAAAAGTTAACATAATGTCACTAAAAGAGATTTCATTTAAAGTCATTCATACTTTATTTAAAGAAAAACAGCAAAATTATGCAAATACAATAAGTGAGAAATAACTATAATTTACATGTAAAATCATTTTTATACATTATAACAGGTTCCTTGACCACATTTGCACCACAATTATTTGGTAATATTGTCTCATCTTATGGAAGTTTACATGCTTTTCAGGTAAAGAGGCCCTTGATTACTTGAACTGTTTGCAGGACACCAGGATAGGAATCCTGTATGAAGGCCAGTGTTGTGAAAACATAAGACGCTGTTACTATAGCTATAGCAGTGTATGTGGTACAGATGGAAAAACCTACAGTTGTGAGTATACATCTTGGAGTTGAGTGTTCAGAGGTGAAAAGATGGTATGTGGAATTAACCTTTTCATAACGCAGCCATTTTTATTTACCTAATGATAATCATTATTTGCATGTTGCATCATTTTTAAGAAGTAAAAATACTGCTCCAGCACTAAAAGGAGTTTTTGTACAAAGCAAGTGCATACATGTATATAGAGAGCATATGCATTTAAATTGTTCACTTAACTAAAACAAGTTAAAAGAAGTATGGTCTTAAAAAATTATATTTTTAGAATAATATAGAGGCTTGGAACTTTAGATGAAAGTGACTGTACTGAAAATAAAATAATTGGAAATACTGGAAAATTATAAATGATACCAGAAAATTAATTTTACCTGATGTTTACACTGTTATCCCCCAATCCAAAATAAAACCTTTAATAGAACCTTCTTACCTAACATACAATATTTAAGATAGATATTTTATTTTTAAATTTGTTTTTATAGTCAAGTATTGTCCAAGTTTTGGAATTCTTTTTTAATTATCTTGTTAAATTGTACATACTGATAAACATTGAATTCCATCCCAACAACTTCAATAACAAGTCTGTAAAGTGTATGTGTTAACATTGTTCTTTTTTCAGTGAACATACAGTCATATTTGAAAGAAAAATATGACATGAATAATTAATTTCTTATTTTTTCATCAAGGTGCTAGTAGTGATCTGTATTTATCAATTGTATTTTAACATCAGTTTTCTAGAATCCCCAAATGAACACTCAATCTCCACAAATGCCTTAATTGTAAAAATGATAACATAGCAGAGTTGCGATTCTGCCATAAAGCAAAAGTATAACTCTCATTATTTGATAAAAAATTATAGATATTTCTACTGAACTTCAGGTGAAAACAGCATAGATTACTGGAACTGTAGGAATGGCACCAACACCAAGATAGCCCACTCAGGATACTGTGAAGTGGCGGGACAGTACTCTAAGTGTGTCCTTAAAGAATGTGCAAAAGACAGCAAACCTGTGTGTGCCAGTGACACTAACAGGAGATATGATTGTAAGTAAGCTAGAGTAAGACAGTGGTCAAACCTGAACTAACTTAATCCAGGCAAAGTCAACAAAATATCAAAAGGAGGGACCCTTTTTGCGTTTAAGAATTTTAAATCCCTTGTTAAGTAAAAGGGAGACTTTATACTGCATGTACTTCCAGTTTCTGAAATCAGTATTACATGTATACTCTGTGTACCTGAACCGCAGACCAAAATTAACATTACCAAAATTATTGCCAATAAATGGCTGAGAAAAGATTTGCCTTGGTGTTTTCAAAGGAAATGAAAAAATTAGATTTACATAATTTTTCATGAAAGTATGCCAAAACCCTTAGATATGTGCTTAGCATATCAATTCATTTATATTCATTTGTTTTTTCATGTAGGCAAGGAGTCTCTGGACTACATGAACTGTGTCAGAAACGCAAGTGCATTGGCATACAATTGTTGCCCAACTACAACATGCAGATCATGGGGAGATTATGTCTGTGGAAGTGATGGAACCACGTATTCATGTAAGCTCACTGTATTTTCAACTTTCTCGGTAATTCAGTCATTGAGAATATCAACTTTATCATTACCATGTGGTTTTTGAGGTACTCTTTACTCACACTAAACTTTGCCCGTTTAAGAAGGTAAAGTAGTTTTTACCCACACTTAACTTTTTTGATTTTTTAAAAATGAAACATCATCTCCTACATCATAAGTTTTATAAATTCATACCGGGTTTGCAGAATGTGACAGCAGTTTTTTAAGTGTTATTTGATATCAGTTGCCAGGATGTCTAACAATTGAATTATAGTCAAGTATAATAACATTTTATGTTATATTCTCATTGCCTGAATTTCTGATTATTATTAAGTAATTCTTCTCGGAGAAAAAGTATTATAATAATAGAATTTTTCCAATATAGGTCAGAAGAGCCTGGACTACTGGAACTGTAGGCGTGGTTCCTCAGTGAAGGCAGTCCACACTGGGTATTGTACTGCCAAACCTGGCCAGTATGCCAAATGTGACCTTAATGAATGTTCCAGTAATGATACTCAGATTTGTGGAAATGATGGAAAGAAATATGCATGTAAGTGATATTTACAGATTTTATTTTGGCCGACTAATACATTGATAATTGAGTTTAAGATTAAATAATTCGATAAGAGTGAATATTTTTTACTGAATTTATATATTAATCAATTAATAAGACTTTCTTTGAATATGTCCACAAAAATCATTTCATTTTCTGACCTGAATTATAAACATTTAATAATAATTTACATAAAAATTTTTGATCATAAATTTGATGTGAAGAAGTTCAAGTGAAAGCAAAGAGTAATGTTTATTTTCTCCTCTCAGGTAAAGGATTTCTTGACTACATGAACTGCCTTTATAACAGTACTGTGCTGCCATGGCAATGTTGCACGCGAGTTCCATGTAGTTTTTATTCCAGAGCTGTGTGTGGGAATGATGGGAAAAACTATAACTGTAAGTTTACTGAAAAGGTTAGATAATGATTTTATTTCTGGACAGTTTGCAGGAGTGATGGGAAAAACTGCAACTGTGTTTTACAAAAAAAAGGTTGAAGAGTGACTAAAAGGGGAAGAGGTTATTAGGATTAGCCCTACATTTACAGGGGTACTTTCAAACTTGAAAAATTCATTGTGATTATGTAAATAGTTCTTTTTGCTCACCTGCAAACTGATAACATATACTCCCAGTTCCATGTTGTGTTGCCAAGGAATACTGATATTTGAATTTGAATGATCCCCCTTAGCAAAATGAAAAGTGTGCAGCACATGTGCTGCAAATGTACCGCACATATGCGGCACACTCTAGAGTGTGCAGCAGACAGCTTTGGGGAGTGTGCAGAAGTGTGCAATAAAAATTCTTTCTTGCTGCACACCTACTGCACACTTCCATAAGTACAGATAGTGTGCAGAAAGTATGCAAGAGACTTGGTATTTCAATAGAAGCATGCGGAGAGTGTGCGATGACCTTAAAATTTGATCAAGAGTGTGCAACAAGTGTGCAGAAAATGTAATTTTTCTGTCAGGAGTGTGCAGAAAATGTGCAAGACACTTGGTTTTTCAACAGACATGTGCAGAAAACGTGCAATAAACTTACAATTTGATCAGAAGTTTGCCGGGAGTGTGCAGAAAATTAATTTTTTTCGTCAGGAGTGTGCAACAAGTGTACAGGAAACTTAGAAAATTTAAGTTGTGTGAGTTGAGTGTACAGCAAGCTTTTAATTTTATCGGGGTATGCTATTTTAGAGTAAAAACCTTATCATTTGATTATTTAATATGTACCAATACAAGATACATGAACATGCACTGCCATTGATAATTACACAAACAAAATACTTCAATACACATTCTAATTTATATCCATCAATTAGAAATAATCAATGCTTATATAAAATTTTAATTATTATCATATATAAGTGGTAAGTACACTATGATAAATAATACACTATTGTGAGCTATAGTGGGTATTTATGCCGCAGGCCAGAGAAAAATCCAGCCAAATTAGTCCAACAAACAAATCAATAACATTACGTAAAGCTAGTTATAAATTGTATTGTTGTAACAAACTCTGGTGTTTATCTCACTCAAAGCAAGGAGTTATAACTCCTTGCTCAAAGTAAGAGAATAAGTCAAGGGCAATATAAGTTTAACAACATCTAATAGGAAAATGCCTAATCATCCCTTTAAACCCATTCACTAAATCACAACTTTTGCAATGCTTTGCCCGCTTTAAAAAAAGATTATTATCAGTCATGAAATCTAGGGTTGTGGCTCCTACTAGTATAATCTTGACTTGGCTAGTTAATTTTCACAAAAAGATAAAAACACAGTATATAATGTATTTTTATTATTTTTATGATGATATTCACTAACTTCNGTCATGCAAAAAGTACGCAGGAGGTGTGCAAGAAGTATGCAGGAAATGTGCAAGATGTGCGCGGGAGGTGTGCAAAAAGTACGCAGAAGGTGTGCAAGAAGAATGCAGCAGGTATGCAAGAAGTGTGCTGGTTGTGGTGTTGGGGGTGTGCAGGAAGTGTGCATCAGATATGCAAGGAGTGTGCGGGAGGTGCGTATTTTACCATGCAAATGAGGCGTGCTGCGCATCCGCAGAAACCCTTACTGTGAATCTGCTGTGCATCCGCAGAAACAGTGTGCGGGAAGCCTAAAATTTTGCTAAGGGGGCCTTGGATCTGATGCTTTTTTAATTCAAAAAAGGTGCAGAGTACTAATTTGCCCAGGCAGCCTCATTTTTTTCATTTAAAGAAATATCTATAGATCTGCATCAATTTGCAAGTTCATTGTTAGTATTTCATTCATGACTTACTGTACATATTTTACTACCATATGGAATCAATTACACATAGCTCGATGTTAGCATCACACCTAAGATTATCTTACACTGTACCTCTTACAGGTGAGAATGACATTAAATACTGGAACTGCAGAAATGGAACAAACATCACTGCTTTGCATTATGGCAGCTGTGTGGCACCCCCAGCAATTTATGCCAAGTGCCCTGCGAAGCCTTGTCCAGCTGATAGTAAGCCCATATGTGGTAGTAATGGAAAGAATTATGACTGTAAGTTGACTGTTGACTTTTTGGGTAACTTAATAGTAATTGAGTACCAAAGTGCCATGCCAAATTATTAAGTAACTCCATTTTTTTCATAAGCATGACAGAGATGAACAAATGAGCTAGTGTACAGGTAGATGATGATGAAAAATTTATTACAAATTGATAACTTAAGGCATTTTGTGAACCATGGGAGGTTTGGTTGCACTGATCCCTGCTTGCATTTGCCAGTTCCATACAGTGCTGGTAAGAATGAAACCAGTAAAAAAAATCAGAAAATTAAAATGGAACTTTTCTTCGCCTACATTTCTTGCTTCTTTTTTAGGCAAGGAGCACATGGAATGGTCCAGTTGCCTCTACAATGAGTCTGTAAGTGTGGAGTATGAGGGGACATGTTGTCCCTCCTCCTCCTGCTCTTCATCCAGCTCTGCTGTCTGTGGCACTGATAGACAGACATACCAATGTAAGCAGACTCGACTTGTTATAAGAAAATAATCCACTTTAATTGAATTAAACACTGTAAAAAGACTGTAACCGTATTAAAGAATGGATTACAGTCTGTATATTCTGTGTTAAACATTTCAGCAATACTTTGTCATCTTATTAAACATCTTAAATATGAAAAATGAAGTATTCAGATTAGATATAAACATTTAAATTTGTGGCAAGTAAGTATTGATGATTTGATAAGTTAAAATGAATAACTTTGCTAAAAATTTAAAAAAAAAGAGAGTGAGAGAGAGAGAGAGAAAGAAATAAGAATTAAGCCTTGCCTTTTTTCTTTTTTGCTTGTGTGTTGACTATATGGAGATCAATGCTTGGGTATTGCTAGTTTATATAAAATATTATATCATTATTTCCATATATTATACACACAACTGTATTTATGAATAACATCTTTATCCCTAGGTCTTAATGCTACGTCTTACTGGAATTGCCGCAATGGAACTAGTGTCAAGGTTGCTTATTATAATAAATGCAACCCTGCGATCACAGCTATGGTTGCCAAGGCCTGTGCTGACTATAAGGCTAACAATTGCTCAGTTAGCTCCCGCTTCTGTGCCAACAATGGGAATACGTATAGTAAGTACTAAGTAGTAATCATGTAGTGAAATAAGAAATTATTTGTCATTTATGAAATTGTAAATTAAACATTTGCTTAAGTCAGTAAGAAGTTGTATCAAACTTGGTTCAGTCCAGACATTATTTTCACTTGATTATTCGGCACTTTTGCTGCATTTAAGTAAAATAATTATACATATATACAGGAGCATTGTTTCAGTGATCAAATCAGAAGTATATGGCTTACTTTGCTTTTCAATTTGCAGATGGATGTTCTCTTGTTCAAGCTCAGTGTAGCAAAGCTAATGGCTACCCTAAAGTCAAGTATGTGGGATCCTGCAGCTGGATTGACTCTCTTATTGGGTAACTGGACTACCCACGTCCTATATATATACACAGCAGTATATGATGGATTTTTAAAGTGTATAACCAAATGCAATCTATATTTGGAAGTTGGTGATTTTGTGCACCACTTGACAACATCTAGAATAAAAGCTGGAAAATGCTGGTGTCATGATTTTTGACATTGGATTAATTGATATTTATCACTACATGATATATGACTAAGTAACTAAATAATGGGCCTTGGACTTTTTTCATTTAGATCTACAACTTTTTTTCTGCTAGCTGTGAACATTTGACAGTGTTATTGAATTTATCATAGTTAACAAGCTTAATAATTAACAAGCACTGGTACATGAAGCAAGTCGTCCAGTTTTTGAAGCAAAATGGTCAACTTTTCACTCTACAAAATAAAACAAACCTTCTCTGTAGAATTAAAAATCCATATCTTTCATATTTATCCAATATTTTATAGACATATAATAGACTGCCAAGAGTTAAGAGATGAAATGTTGGAGATTTGTATCTACGTATAGACAATTGATAGCTTCAAATAAAACTACTGACTAAAAGCATGAGTTTTATGCGATACATGTAAGACACAACTGGCCAGATAATGTAATGTACATTCAAATATATTACAGCAAGAGAAAATGCCGTTTGCACACATCCCCATGCAATCATTGAAATCTCAACAAACGCAATGTGGAATTATGCATGTACAACCACTGGTCATTATCACTTATGAAACAAGTATGCCCATGTTCTTTAAATTAAATGCTTTTATGTGAATACACTACATAAGTGTTTTTGTGATCTATTTAGAACATTCTGCCATTTCTTAAGATTGTCTTTCATTTTTGATATGTCAGTAAAATGGTTCAAACAAAGAGAATGAGGTTTACATGTCCAGATACAGGCATGTATTTACTAGAAATACCAGGTACCTAAGCCCTATGATATATCAGATGATCTGATGGTTTTCTTATGTCAAGTAAGATCCCTATGTCAAACATAAAGACTGTGTATATAAACAAACTACCTGTAATCCTAAGACTAAGAAGGGTGGTCAAAAGTCAAAAGACTTTGAAACATCTACCCAAATAACTGAGCTACACAAGGTTGTTTGAATGACAAATCCTCTTCAAATGACATCTTGATAAGATTTCAGTGATATAACTATGTTGAGGTTGCGTGCACTTAAGCCAAATTCTCCATGATGTTCAAGAAGAAAATGTCTGCTATTTTAGTCCTTCTATCTTTTGCAGGTAAGTGTCTAGTATTTGTTTCTTTTAAAAATCTAATTTTACATCTGCATTCTCTGGGAATGTTTATTGTTAATATTTTAGATTTAGATTGACATATTCCATACAGTTATGTGTTTTATTTTTGGTTTATATTAGTAGTACCTGCACCTTGTGCCAAATGTGAATGATTTCATGACCTATGAAATTTCTATATTTAGGGGAATATGTTGCTTCCATTAAGAGTTGAAGTTTACTTTGCTAAAAATAAAAATGAGACATTTCAAACTTTCTTCTGCTGTGGTAACTGTGAACATTTATTTTCATTGTTCCAGAGCAGTTCTCAGTGGCAGGCAATTTTCTTCACATTTTAGAAGCAGCAACACCTTAAAATGCAACTTTCATTTATAATAATCATTAAGATCTGACTGTTTGTAGTTGCTGTCCAGAGTCAGCTACCTGCTAACTGTAACAGTCCCTGTCCAGAGGAGTACATTCCTGTGTGTGGCTCTGATGGAAGGACTTATGGTTAGTATCTCAGATAATATTGAGCTCTGTGGAAAATTGTTAGCATGTATCCTTTGTAAGATTGATCTAATTTATGACTTCTCGGGATGTATATTATGAAGTCAGACCTTAAATTTTTTTCCCTTTGGCTTTAGCATTTGTGATATTTTAATTTGAGATTCTGATATTTCAGGGAATCTTTGTGAGTTGCAGGTGGCATCATGTCTGTCTGTTGCAAAAATAAGTGCAATTGCAGAAGTTGAATGCTCAGCACTTACTACTACTACAACCACTAAACCAACAACCACCCCAAAACCTACCACAACCACACCAGCACCAACCACCACAACAACCACAGAACCAACCACAACTACAACAATCACAGAACCAACCACAACAACAACCACTGAACCAACCACAACTACAACAGCAACAACTACCACATCCATCAAACCATCCACTACAACCAAGGAACCAACAACTACAACCAAAACCACAACCAAGAAAACTACTTCAACCACATCCATTGTGCCAACCACTACAACCCGGACTCCAACCACAACCACATACTTGTCCACAGTCCACATGAAGACACACCCCACTAAGAAACCTACTTTAACACCAAATTTTATGAAAAGCACAATTAGTTCAACAACAAAAATGCCTAGCACCACCACCAAGGCCAAGTATTGTCAGTACAGTCCTTGTTCATCTTATGACAAAGAAGTATGTGGAACAGATGGAAAGACTTATAAATGTAAGTTGACAGAGATATAAATATATACATAACATGATATAGAGATTCTGTAAACTATTATTTTGTTTATAAATGACAATGTGCCTGGAATTAACTTTTTTTGTGATAGTGGAAAACCAATGCAAAAGGTACATGTACCAATTTTTATTTCATATAATTTGTTCTTAATTATATAACTAAACATTTTTTTTTTACATTTTCCAAGATTGAATTGAGGACATGGATTAGAATTCATTATATTCAAAATAATGCATTAAAAACTATTTTAACTCACTTTTATTCAGGTCAAAAGAATTTGGCCTACTGGAACTGTAGATTTAATACCCTGGTGGGCATAGCACATCAGGGAAGCTGTAGCAGTACCGCCAGGCCTAATAGTTGTAGCAATAGACCATGCAAATTCTACCATTCTAAAGTGTGTGGCAGTGATGGGAAGACTTATGAATGTAAGTTAGGTTGAAGTTTTAAAAAATCACTATAGCCTACAGATATAAAATTTACTATTATATTGATTTGAGAATTTTGTAAATAATCTACGTCAACTGATAAATGTAATGAAAGATGTGGCAAATGTGTACTTATTGAAGTTTAAGGTGAAAAGGGAAATTCTGATATACATTTGAAAGTATGTAATTGTAAGAAATGTTGCCAATGTCAATGATTATTTTTGTTATGTCTGTTTGTGCACTTCATATTGATAGATTTTTTTAAAGGATACTTCTATTAAGAATATCCTTAAAAAAACTGTGTCATTGGAGCAAAAATAAACAAAAAATGCATGTTGAATGAACATTTTATGCACTTTCAGGTCGAAATGAATTTGATTACCAAAACTGCCTTAAAGGAGGAATGATGAAGGTACAGTATTATAGTACCTGCCGCTTCACTACAACCATGAAACCCATCACTGCTGGACCTGCTGCCATTGGCCATGCTGAAGCCTGCAGGAAGTACCTCTATGGACTATGTTCTGGCAGATATGATCCCCATTGTGGTTCAGATGGAAAAACATATAGTATGTGTCCAAAGATCTTGAATTATTAATGCTGAAAGGCACATATCACGCAGTTATTACAATAAACATTGTTTAAGTTCATTTTGGGTAGACAAAGTGATTTCAGGATGGCATCTTTCTTGATATACATGTAGATGGTTTTCGTGTGTGTGTGTGTGTGTGTGTGTGTGTGTGTGTGTGTGTATGTGTGTGTGTGCCTGCATGCATGCATGGGTATGTGCGTGCATGTGTCAGTGTGTGTGTGTGTGTGTGTGTGTGTGTGTGTGTGTGTGTGTGTGTGTGTGTGTGTGTGTGTGAAAGAGAGAGACAAACATTTTTATTCGCATTAAATGCTTATTACCAAATATGTTACTGTCTTTTTCATATCTTCCCTTTCAGCAAGTGAATGCAGTTTCTACAAAGCCATTTGTGACACACACAGTAGTTTGCCAGTGGCTTTTAAAGGAAACTTAACTCTGGTTTCCAAAGGAACCTGTCCCAGCACAGCTGTATTTAACCCATGTGCTGGGGGATGCTCCTATGAAACAAAAAAGTACTGCTCCTCAAATGGAGGCGTCTACAGTTAGTATTTGGATATTATCATAATATAGTTGATATCATTTATATCATTTTTAAAAAGCCAGGAAATGGTCATCTACCTAGCGGAACAAATTTTTCTGATATTTTAAGAATGTTTACCTCTGTTTCTAATTCAGTGTAAGATTTTTTAATTCCTAATTTAAAAGTCTCTTAAGAAATTGTTTTATTGTTAATCACTGAAGACCATAAGTACTAGTATGTTTATTGCATTATACTAATAAATAGGATTAAATAGATATCATTTTAGATTTTACCCAATTTTTTCTCTTAGTAATTTATATATATTCTTCATGTTCTACCCTCCAGACAACCAGTGTGAGCTGTACCGTGCCATGTGTGCATACAAACAGTATGGGGTGACTATCAAGGAAGTGAAATGCACCTATGTGGACCCATGGATAGGATAAGGAACGACGCTGGTCAATGCAAACTAATATGATCACTACAATATGAATTATTCTGATTACATAGTTTTTTTTTTTCTAAAGAGGCTAAACATGTTTTTTTACCTGTGGGGTATGCCATTTCTACCCTTCTTTAAACAAACATTTTTGTCATCACTACACACAAGACATTAACCTATTTCACAGAAAATTTTCCTGATTGCTTGGAGTCAGAAGTACTTCAGCAGTAAAAATGTGACAGTTACTATATAAGGGAGAAATCGGTTATATAAATCCTAGCATATTGAGAAATATAAATTTTAAAATATACTTGTTGGGTTTCCCTTAAAACAATTGCACAGATATATTTGTTTTAATACTGCAAAATAATTCTACAAAACACTTTGTATAATGCAAAATATTAAATTTCCATTCTTATAATGTTTGGAGTAAATCAGCAATTAATTGCAACTGTTTTGACTATTTTGATTTTTGAAATGAAAATAAATCTACCATTGCTTCAAGGCAAAATGTAGCTGCAAGATTGACATTTATCTACTTTTTTTTTCCTTTTTTTTTCGGTGCATGGGGGTGGGGGAAGTTGATGAATGAGTACAGATTTTGTATATAAATAAATATGTACAGTGTATATATTATACTGGTATCCTCACTCCTTTCAAGGACTTACATATGGGGTTTATAACCAATCTTTTCATTTATGACCATCCCAGCTTAGGGATCTATCTTAATAAGATCTATCTTAATAATCAGCTGCATTTTGTCCCTCCTTACATGGAAAGCATGACAGTCTTATCACAGAATTAATCCTGTTACATAGGGTCTGTCCACATGTGTCTGTCCTGTGCAAAATTTGAATACAGCCTGGCTTTTAAAGGGTTAGATTGTTGATAAAGACCAAGTCTTCCAGCAACAACTATTTTGGGATGTGTAAAAAAGAATCATCCTTTGTTGGTCGTATTTTGTTGCAAACAAATTGTAGCATGATTTCAACCAAAGAAATTATTATTCACTATAATCAACTTTCATTACCAAAACAAGACCAGTTTGGAACAAGTGCTAGCTGGTCTGGGGCACTATGTCTGGGGGGGGGGGGGGGGGGGGGGGGGG